AAGTAAAGCATCTCTCTTGCCATTAAACAAGTCATAGAACTAACTAGAGAATACGTTGTTTGTTTACTCTTCTAATTTAGTTCAGGGAGAATCAGCATACTCAGTTGATGTACAATACAGAGCTCTAGAAATGGATAAATGATTGATTTAACACTGTAATATAACTGAACTATATACTGTATGTAACTAACAAAAAAGATTTTGTTGCTGTGACCATTCATATTGTTTTACCTTTTTATTCCAAGCAAATCATTGCCTTTAAAGTATTAATTAAAGAAAACTATTCAAATAGGAAAGTCAGCTTTTGAGGAAGCTTTTCAGACATATGGAATTTACTTTGTATTTAACAAGTCCTGAAGTGCATGAACTAGAGTTCTAATGTTCCTCTAAAGGCTTAAATGCCAAATTTATGGGCTCACTATATTAATATCAGAGAAAAATTAAAAACAAGAAATGTTGTAGCTCCTTAAAGGCTAACTGCAATAGTTTAGTGTGAGCTTTTGTGGATCAGGTTCACTTCCTCAGATGTTACAGGGCATCATGGGACTGTGCAGCTTGCCCAAGGTCATGTAGGTTGGCTCTACTTGCAGGAAGCACAGTGGGAAATTAAACTACTAACCTCTGGTTCCACAGTCAGAAACCTAAACCACTGAGCTATCTAGCTAGTACAGAACAATCATAACAACCCCCAAACTATTGTGGGAACACTTTTCTAATTGAGAGCTAAAGTAAGAATCTGGCAGAAGAGGTTACTCCACCCTGAAGTAATTAGAAGCTATTTTTACATAAACCTGAAAAAGGCCTTGTATTGAAACAAACACCAATATCTTGTTGTTGACAGTATCTCTTGTACTGGTAGATTAAAGAATTGTTACATGTTGGACTTTAGTGCAGTATGGATATAATTTATATCTTTATTGCATTTTTTTTAACCTGTGGTGTAATTTATTGTAAGGAGACCATGGCTGAAAAAATTGCACCTGTGGTAATTGGTAGGGAATTATGCCTAGGCAGCCCACATGCCATATCTGAATATGTAACTAGTTGCACACTGTGCCTGTGGAACTGCTTGCTGGATTCTGGATTCTTCTCCCTTGGTGTGTGTTTTGCAACCACTTGTGCAGCTTTGAGTATGAAAAGGGATTTGGGCTCATTAGTGTAAATATTTTGATAGGTGGAGCCCATAATGGCTTGGATATAAAAGAATCTTTGTGACTCAATGAAACATTTGGTTCTAGTTTAGATTTTTTGGGAAGGATATAAATTTTAGAGATGAATCTTTGAGTTGCATGCAGAAGTTGGAAGAAGATGCTGTCTGTAGTCAAGTAATGTTGTAGTAAAATTGAAATGCTAAAGTAGACGAGACCACCCATCTGTGAAAGTGTTTATCTATATCCAGGATGAGACAAGTGTTGTGTATGCAATATACACATATCTCCATTTTGACCCTGCTCCTTTTGGGTATGTCTTAGTATTAGACTGGGTTACTGGATTGGAACCCTGTATATATGCCCTGTTGGAATAAACAGTGCTTTTTGTGGGGATGAAACAGTTCTACCTAATCTGTAGTCTGTAATAGGAAAGAATTGTTATGTTTCCTTTACTGTCTTTGAAGTCTTGTGAAAATAGAAATCCGGCCATAACCCCAAATTATTAAAAAAATACAACAGTCTTGAAATAGTTTGGTAATTATCACCTTTGCATATTGTTTCAGTGCAGAGGAAAATATTTCATATGACAAAGAGAAATAATGTGAACATGTCTTTATAAAGAATTATTGTAACTCGATCTGGGTCTCTGTCAGTTTATTAGTTATTAATTTATTTATTATAATTTTGGGTACTGAGGTCTTCAAACAAATTAAGCCTAGAGTCATCATTGTTTCCCCACTGGCATTTCTCTCCAGGCTTTCTCTTTAGCATATGGCAACTCTGCATTAGTTGCAGTTATACCAACAGTATTTGCAGTGTTGCAGCTAACTTAGATTTATATCATCAGGTTATCCGTTACACTTGGCAGCAGACTGGGTATGAGATACAAATCTCATGGAGAATATTATATATAAACCTCCACTTTGCTGTTTTTGTTGAATTATATAAAAAATAGTCTTGGCATTAACAGTATTCTTAAGTTTATTCTTGTGTAGATCAGATTTTGTCATCTTTTTAGCAATAGGATTTAGAAGTTTGATATCTAGGTTATTCACATTCCATATGTTGCAAGAGCTGTTTTATTTAGAACAGAGAAAGTTAATGAATGCAGACCCAGTGAATTACATCAGTAATTTTTGCATTCTGAAAGAAATCACACTCCCTTCCTTATAATGCTATGACAAGATCAAATAATATTTTTATTCTTTTCTGTGTTTCCATACAGCTAATTGTGAAATGGAGATTAATCACTGATTCTAACTAGAAAGTGAGGACTCCACTAGAGATACACAGGAAACATTTCAGTTTCATAACCACTAAAGAGGAAGGTCTCATTGCTTTCTGTTAGATATGAATCAATTGAGCTTTAGCCCTAGAATTACTACAGAAATATAATGGGTAATACTGAAGGAGGGAAACATTGAGTCTAGGGTTCCAGTAGATGAGTGGCCATCTCATGAGAAGAGAAGACTCCCTGGAAAGACCCTGATGATGAGAAAGTGTGAAGGCAAGAGGAGAAGGGGATGACAGAGAACGAGATGGTTGGACAGTGTCACCAAAGCTACCAACATGAATTTGACCAAGCTCCAGGAGGCAGTGGAAGAGAGGAGGGCCTGGCGTGCTCTGATCCATAGGGTCATAAAGAGTCAGAGACGACTTAATGACTAAACAGCAACAATATTTTTGGAAAATTAGTTTAGTCACACAAATTGTGTTAATTCAGGCATTAGAAAAATTGTAATGCAGTAGTCTAGCATAGTTCTAGTGTTCCCATACTATACTCACACATCAAGCCAGTAATTTAAGTTAGGCTGAGAGTTGTGACTGGCCCAAACACCTCATGTGAACTTCATAGCTAAAGGTCCTAGTCAAGTTGCCTATGGTATTTAAATAGGCATAGTTTTCCTTCTTTAACGCAGGTGCTGTTAACATTGAGGGAGGTTTAGGTGCCATCTAATACATGCCATAATTCTGAACAGATTTTGTAGAAAGTACTCTCAAAATTGTGGCTTGTCTTTGCATGTGAGCAGATGTAAGTCTGTGATCTTAGAAAACTCTAGAAGTACTCTAGCCCCCACATTTTAAAGAAGTAGCAGTGTTAGTTGAATACTGCTCAGAAGGATATCCACAGTAGCTATTCTCTGGGGTTCAGACCTCTGTATCACCTAAGGTGACAGAAAACTGCCCAATATAAATTCGGGTCTTTTGTTCATCTACTTCAGGACTATCCCAGTGGAAATGTTTTTGTACATTTTGTATGTTCCGTTTTACCATTTCATCCATGCCCAGCAACTTATTCTGATGACTTTAATGCACTGTACACATGAGAAAGAAGACCCTTTCTTTAGAAAAGTTGGGTTACTTACCTGTAACCATGGTTCTTCCAGTGGTCATTCTGTGAATTCACACAAACCCGCCCGTCCTCCCCACTATCCGTCACTGTATACTTGTCTCTCATTCTGTCACTTATCTCTGGCGGATAAATGGAACTGAGGATTGGGCGGGCGGAGCATGCGTAGTATACTCAGTACAAACATTGTTTCTCTTGCAGAGCTCCAGAATATTCCGAGAGGACCAGCGCAGGCGCTGACTTAACCCCTTGTTGTGTGAATTCACAGAATGACCACTGGAAGAACCATGGTTACAGGTAAGTAACCCAACTTTTCTAAAGAAAGGGTCTTCTTTCTCATGTGTACAGTGCATTAAAGTCATCAGAATAAGTTGCTGGGCATGGATGAAATGGTAAAACGGAACATACAAAATGTACAAAAACATTTCCACTGGGATAGTCCTGAAGTAGATGAACAAAAGACCCGAATTTATATTGGGCAGTTTTCTGTCACCTTAGGTGATACAGAGGTCTGAACCCCAGAGAATAGCTACTGTGGATATCCTTCTGAGCAGTATTCACTTGATAGACCTGTGTATATTTGGAAGCCAGACAGTTTATACATTTTCAGAACAATATAAAGAGGACACCTGGCCAATCTTTAAATGCAGTCTTTGGCAAGAAGGCACTGCAGGAATTGACAGTGTTTAGTTGTAAATACCCTTCCCATGAAACTTCCCTCTGGGCCAGTTATGGAGTTTATTTTGCTCCATGACTGAAACACGAAAATCTATTTAGATTATCCATAAATCTTCAGGAATTGAAGGATCACCTGACTTCATTTAGGGGTCCTGGGAACTTTCCAAATGCTAGGTTTGCTCTTTTGAGACACTACCATGTTCTTCGCTTTGTAGTCAGGTGTAATTTGTGGGCTATTAAACCATGTACTTCTTTCTCTTAGTTAACAGGTTTTACTGCTTGTAGTAGGGCTTTTTTGCTTCTTGAAAATCTGCTTTGGGGGCCTCTATAAAAGACAGCTTATCTGCTAGGCTTCTACTGTTAACTTTTACCACTTAAAAGAAAGCTTAGCAACTACCTCTCGAAATATGCTGGAATTTTTGTAGCATAACGGTATAGTGCTTTATAAGTTGTGGTACAGAAGCATTTATGGTGCTCTTTCCAGAGCAACACAGATTATTTAAGGAAAGAAAATGGAGATTTCTCTTCATTCATTGCATCATGAAGTACGCAGTATTTCTTAACTAGATTCTCAGTAGGTCATGTGTGAAGGGGCTCTGAAGTATAAAACCTACCTTAAATTCTGCTAAACAAGATCAGCCCCTTGTTTCCATTCTACAAGAGTTCTGTGTCACTTGGAACATAATTGACTAGTCTCTCAGTGAAAACAGTACCTACCGTTCTGATGATGGTGCTAATAGAGGCTGTTTTAAATGCACCCTTTTTCTAGAATTGTTTGCTCAACCAGATTGTCAACTTTTAGAAGAGCAGTGCCTCATTGTTGACTTTGACCATGCATGCTGAACAGGTCCTTCTGCTTTCAGTTCCCAGTGGGCCGTATTCATAGACACTTGAAGACTCGCACCACAAGCCATGGAAGGGTTGGTGCCACAGCTGCCGTGTACAGTGCTGCAATTCTCGAATACCTCACTGCTGAGGTAAGTTCTAAAAATCAGTATTGTCAAGCCACGCAGTCTGGAGATCTACCAGAAGCTAGTAGAGAAATGGCATATGTTTCAATTATTTAAAAAATCCTGCATATTAAGAGAAAGCAAGAACTCCTGAGGGTCACAAGTCAGAGCTAGGGGACTTTTGTTGTAGTTCTCAACACATGTTCCCTTTGGACTCTGAATATGAAAACAGAGGCTGCTATCAAAGCATGTTTTATTTGAGGCAAACCTCTTGCTTCTTATTAATCTTGTTTTCCAGTAGGGAACCACAGGATTCGCTTTGAATCAGATTTTCAGGAAATGGCATCAATGTTTCAGATGGCTGCCTCATGTAGAGAAACAGAAAATATTGTGGCCATTTTCCTTTTTATTAATCTTAACAAAGAAAAGGACAGATCATTATGTTAAGATGGATCCAGATTTGGTCATACCTTTAGTAGAGTTACTTAAATTCTGTTGATTTTGATGAGTCTGCTCATAGGTGTAAATCAGGATCTAATCTGTTATTGTCTACAATAATATAATAGGCTGCTATAAATTTTGGGCATAATTATTTCTAAGATCCTGAGAAACAGTTACCTATTCATCCTTCTGTTACAACCTTGCTTCTAAAATGAATAAAAGGGTACCAGAGTTCTATGTATATTTTTGTTTACTTCCTTTAAAACTTCAAAATCATGGAGTTCGGACTTTCCAAGTGCATGCCGCACTTCAGATTTCTGTGTCATTACCGAAGGCCCAGTTGAATTGCATAATTTTTGTGCTGCTGTGATTTTGGCTGCAGAACAAACCCTTCAGCAGTAGGAGCAGGTTCTGTGTAATGTCTCTGTTTAGCTCCTATGATATTATAAATACAGGTTTTAGTTAGGTAGTTTAATGGTCCTATTAACTTATACATTTGATATTTAAATCAGAACTACCTGTGGGAAAGTTCACCACCTATACAGTAACTTTGTGATATGGTCAAGAAATTTAGTTCCAGGTCCTGTGTTTTTTTTCCTAATATACCAAATAGATTAACATACATGTCCTTCTGAAGTTTGCAAGTATTAATATTTGCATATTTATTTGTTGTTGTTTTAAGTGATAAATACATTAGTAAGAGATTTAAATTCTTCCGACAGGTTTTGGAGTTGGCAGGTAATGCATCCAAGGATCTCAAGGTAAAACGTATCACTCCACGTCATTTGCAGCTTGCTATTCGTGGTGATGAGGAATTGGATTCCCTTATTAAAGCAACCATTGCTGGTGGAGGTATGTTGTGTTGTTGCTTCCGGGATGACTAGAATGGTATAAAAGCAGTGGGGTGAGGTCCTCAAAAGGTAGAACTTAACTATATTCATACAACTGTTCAGTACAGTACTTCTCTATAATATAGTGAAGTACTATCATCCTGGAAGACTTTTTAGAGGAGGGCCTATGAAGAATTGGCTTTGCTCCTTTGTAGGCTATTTTTTACTATGTTGTTACATCACATCTGTAACAAATTAATGCAACTGCATTTACCATTTGGGTAGCTCTTGCAGCTTAGTGGACATAACTGTTACTATTTCTTACAGTTCACTCCTTTAGAAGTGTCCCTGATAACACTGGATTCTGAGCTGTTTCAGGAGTACAAATTAAATGTGCTATTTCTCTTCTGAAATATGTTAATTTATTAAACATCTTTTTGCTTTCAGGTGGTGCCAGTTTTTAACAGAAGCGCAAAATGAATCTTAAGGAAATTCCTTGAGTTTTTGCAATCTCTTGGAGAACACTTCGTTGTCCTTTGGCATCACCTTCCCTCCCAAATAATTCCTCTAAGCTTTTCTTTCCCATTATCTCTTTCATTTTGGCTCCAAAACTAGACCAGGAATTAGAACTATGTCATTTCTGTATATGTACCAATAAATCTTCATGTCCCTCTTGGCATCATGGGGATAACCTAATCTGATTAACAAATTTGGGTTATTTTATTCTCCAAATGGCAGAGTAATAACTATATTGCTCCCATTTTATACTGAACGTTAAACCTTACATTTAAGATAGTTACGTGGCTCCTTCCATGTAAGCTCTCTTTTCTCTGTGTTTAAGTTGAAGCTCTTTACTGAAGAGTGGATAACAACCATTGGAATAGTTTGAGACCTTGGTGTCTGCAAGATATGGTGTTCAGGGTTTTCTCAGGAATGTAGACAAGTAAATATTAACTTGACTTTTTTCTGTGTAGTAAATCTCAATGTTATCATGTACTCACCACTTCTAACCCATTACTCTCTTTGCAGGTGTAATTCCTCACATCCACAAGTCTCTCATTGGAAAGAAGGGACAGCAGAAAACTGCATAGAGAGGAATTTTAAACAGCCCTCTTCCTCCCTGTCATTGTACTGTAACTGGGACAGAAGAAATATGGGGATATGTGGAATTTTTTTAAAAAAATAGTTAAATGGAAGAGTATAGACAATTGACTGTAGACTTAAAACATTTGTATGTTCTTTAGATTCAAAGTTTGACACAAAAAAGTACCTTGTTATGTGGCAGCAATTTGTGTGTTGATTGGCTAGGTTTCTCCCATGTGTTTTATACAAAAATGGAACTGATAAAACCATTTTTTACAAAATTTGCTTTTGTGTGTTATTCTGGTGTAAAAAAGGTCAGCACAGTAAAAGATTGGTGCCATAAAGTCCTGTGGAGGATTTTAAAATAAATGTTGCTAATTTTAGACTTAAATGTGGCCACATTCATGATTAACTTTGTTTTTTTATTTTGCTTTTTTGTTGCCTGTTGATTGACATTATGGTAGGTGCATGAGATCAGTGTCAAATTTAATTTAACATTAGAGAATATACCAAATTTATTAAGGCACTTTTTAAAACAATAATTTTAGTTTGCTTAAACTCTTTATAAAGATTACTGTATGAACAAGGAAATGGCAAAAAAACACCTCTTGAAATGGGGTACGAATATATATATATATCTAGGAAGAAATTATCCAGAACAGATAGTTTTACACCTAGTAACCTGCTTGTGGTTGTTGGCTTTACATTGAGTTCTGATCTGTTCTTGAACCAGCACAGTTGCTGTTTTGGTCCTACACAGGAAAGGAAGATCTTAGAACTGTTGTTTGGGCTGCATCATGCGATACGATTTCAGGCACAGTGCTGACATATCCTAGTGGAAGAATAGTCTGAAATTTTAAGAATTTATATTTGCTTGAACCTCTGGCAGTTTCTTTGCACCATTCTGTTCTCCAGTAAATGTGTTTAAACACACTATGTTTTCATTATAGGACTAACCTGCAGGGTTATTCTCACTTTGAAAATGAGAGGGGTTGCAGCCTTTAAAGCAGCGCACTGTAAAAAGAACAAGGCAAACCAGATAAAGCAAAAAATTGTCTAGATGGATGAGATGCGACAACTCTGATGGATATGGATTTGGTATTTTGGTTGTATGTTTAGATTCCTTGGTGGCCGTTTGCCTGGAAGGATGTGTGGTAATGAGGTCCAGTTTCATGTTAACACCAGTGTGACAGCAAGCTGAGTCAGTGAATTGGGCAGGTTTGCTGTGTATTTTATTTTCAGACGCCCTTTACTAAAAAATTGAGCACTCTAGCTGCTTAGTGTTGCACAATAACCGAGGGCAGAACATTAACATGACTTCTGTGGGAGTATAAAGTGTAATGGCAGTAAATACAGTGATAATGAGGGTGTTTATTGATTCAAGAATATTAAGAATCTCACTTCAGTGTAACTGAACAACTTGGACAGATAAACAACTGGAAAACAGATGATGTTTGTCTTCTGTTACCAAAATGTTCGGTGTTGTAGGAATTGAGACTTTACATCAATGTTCAGGATGTTGTGATTTCATTTTCTTTGTGGGGTATGGAATGTCAGTGGATGTGTTAATATTAAAAAGGACAGATTTTCTAAGAAATAAGAAGAGAGGAGGAAGAAGGATGTGTGGTCATGTATGAGAATCACAATACACAATTCCAAAGGGTGGACTGAAGAGTCACTCTTTCATCTCGTTAGGATTTCAAAACAAAGAATGCATTTTTGCATTTCCCAATGTATTCAGTGCTTCGGTCTGTCTGATCAGTTTGCTACAAATATTTGCTGTGCTTGTATGTTGATACAATGATGTGTTGTTGTTTTTATTAGGCCAGAAAGTTTGGTTTACCCTCCTAAGGAATACATTAGGGAAAGGTTTATCCATGTATATAAACTTGGGTTCAAAATGTAGGATCCGTTCTGTGATGTATCTTCAGGTTGGCTCACTTCCCCGTATTCCATGATATGTTTTCCTTGCTGCAGATAAGTTTCCACACAAAGGTGGCTATATGATGTAGGTATGATTATAATGGGCTGCTCAGGAGTTTGAGATTCCAAATCTAATCTGTCTTCATACAGTGGACCCTTGACTTACAGATGGCTTGATTTACAGACTTTTTGAGTTACAGACTTCTCTGGCCCCAAAATTTAGGTTTGACTTGCAGCCTGAGAATTGACTTACAGACTAGAAAAAAACCAAAATGGAACAAAAACGGCCTGTTACGGGATTAATCGGTTTTCAATGCACTGTAGGTCAATGGAGACTTGATTTACAGACTTTTTGACTTGAGAACCGCCTTCCAATACGGATTAAGTTCTCAAGTCAAGACCCCACTGTATAACCTGTATTCAAGGAACACTAGAGGGCAGGCCTGCAGCCAAAATCTTAGTGACTCCTCTTGTACATGTCTGATGCAAGAAAGGCTTGAGACCCAGTTCTGTAATGTTTGAAGAGGTAAGTCCATTAAGCAGGATGTCGTATTTAAATTTTTATTTAAAAGAACTGCAGTATCTTTGGTTAGAATTAAAATCCTTTGATTGAAACAGTGGAGATCTGCTGCCAGTAGTAGTCAGCTAGGCTAGATTAACCAGTAATCTGACTCATTAAGGCAACTTCATTTATTGATAATAGAGGTAGGATATATGGCTGGATTTTGTTTTGTTCCAACAAGCCAGATCTTAGGTAGCACTGGAGAATGCTATTCTCTGGAGAAATGCTGCCCTCTGCTGAACATGGATCAAATCACTCAGGTTATAGGCATTCGGGATCAAATAGAGGGAGCAGAAGGTTTGGGATTCCGTTCCAGCAAACTGCTTGTGTTCTCTGGAAATATAGGGAGACCGCTATACAGTATGTACAAGGAAGAGAGATTTTCATCTGTTGTTTTTGTCGGTCACACAGTTATACACAGGAAGATGTGAGTTCTTGACCTTATTTTGGCCCCAATACAGCTCTTCCTGGGTGAATAACTGCTAAGTTGGGCTAACAGTTTTATCAACGTTTTCTTTTCTTTTCTTTACTCTGGTTTCTCTTCAGATCGTATAAATCTTTCGCCTTTAACGTTTTCTTTTCTCAGTAGGCTCCATTGTGAAAGCTATTTCCTGCTGGTTCCTTGTAAAAAAAAACAACAACTGTGTGACACAGTAATACAACTCAGCTTTCAACTTGTTTTAAATAAGACTCAGATTCTCACCACAGTCTTTTTCCTAGATGCCCAAATTGCTATGATCTTACCATTTGAGTACACCAGTAAGCCTCAAAGCAAGTTTCAGCACCAGTTAAACGTCTTCCCTACCATGGCAAAGAAGTTCTCGTTGTGTTCACTGAAGTAAGTGCAGAGTTGTTCCAGCAGTAACTCCTCTACAGCAGGATGAGGTCGCCCTTTGGATTTGTCCAAGCAGTGGTGATACCCTTTTGCCTGTAGGCAATAGAAACCCTTTGTTTGATTGAAATAAAAGTTGTCTGGGCCTAAGTATGGTGCCAGTCCCAAGAAACGCTCTACATGGCGCATTTCTGAGAGTGGCTCCCGGATAAGGCCACCCCCATCGACTACATGAATCTGTGTCATCGGAAAGAACTCTAGCCACCGAGCCAGATGCAGAGCGTAGAGGCTGCGTTGCATGGGCTTGTATCGGGTGTCGAGTTGCTGGCCCCTCCTCAGGATCTGCTCTAGAGGTTGATAGGGTTTGTGCCGTGTCTTGCGGTTGTTCAGAATCTGAGTGTAATCAGACACTAGCCTTTCCACAGGGTCCCGCACAATCAGGAGGAGCTTCATGGATCTGTCCATGGCATGGATCCTTTCTGGTGCCTTGAAAGAAGAGAAATAGCCTGGGGTTTTTTCCACAGTGATTTGAGCAGGGTGTGAAAGTGGCATCTGTTGGCTGTACCATTCCAATCCCTTCTGGTAATTCTCCTCCACATTAAAAAAATGTACCTCCGAATTAGCAGCTGCCACCTGAGGATGCAAGCTTAGCATCTCCAGCAGGGCCCGTGTGCCCCCCTTCCGCACACCTATGATGATGCTTCCGGGCAACTGTTGTTTCCAGTTGTCATTTGTGCCCTGAGAATGGTTTCTGTGCCATTGGGCATCCCAGTTTTCAGGGGTCTTTGTTTCCTCTTCTGAATGGATTTTGCATACTTTCAGAAGTACGAGCAGCAAGCAGGTCCTGACCATCTTCGTTTGCTTTAAGATGGGAAGTAGTTGAGTGACCCTATAGTGGTGAAGAAGCGTGTCTTCCTTTGTTAATCCAACCATTCCATACCTGGGCTTTTGAAGTGGAATCACTCTTCTGAATAAGAAGAGATTTATCTGTAGAAAATTGTACTCTTTCAAGGCAACTTCTGCCTCCTCGGAATCGCTTCTGGGCCTCTTCCTGTTTTGGATTCTCCTGCCCAGAAATTCCGCTGTGATTTTTCCAAAACCACTTCAACAAAAGTGATTTGCTTCACCAGGAGCCTAGTTTCAAGTAGTTTCTGTCACCTGAAAAATGAAAAACTTAATTAGGAGTGGGTGGTGATGAGAATGTTTGCTGGCTCATTAGCCCCTGTATAAAACCACAGTAATAGCAAGAAAGTCCTAGAATTTGAACACACAAGACACCTAAGGTTAAGACAACAGATACGTTGCGAAACTGAACTGCAAATTTCCAGCCACCCACAAGCCACCTACAGCAGTCTTGGGAACTGGCAGTAGCAGCAGCAGCAGCATCAACGAGGAAGCTTGTTCTGGATTCTCACAGGATGCAAAGCCTGCAAAAATACACCCCTTGACTTGGACAATGTGTCGGTCAGGCTACTTAAATTGTAATTCAGTCTGGAATCCACCCTCTGTTGTGTGACGCTGTCTGTGTTTGATATATTCAACAAAATATTTGACTATAAGAAATTACAAAAGATGAGCTTACAGCTGGTGGCGACAGATGTGAATCACCAAAAACATCAGGGCTAGACAAGAAACCAGTTTATGTGATTCCAATGCCTTTTCTTGCATAAGGCCCAAGAAAATGGGCCTGCACTCCTGCTGCTAGATGTGCACATGGGTCATAGTTTAGAGGAATGAGGATGGAATGAGAACTGAGCAAAATATGGCACAGACTGTTCTCAGTAAGCATGCCATGTGCATGTTTATGTTGGGGGCAAACCATTAGCATCTTCCTGCAGCCTGGCAGTAAGTTGAAAGAAGCTATCTCCACTTGTATATTAGCTATAAGGTATCTACAGTATGTATGCATCTTCTAGGATTTTGGGGGTGAGACTTAATCGGCTCCCTTTTTCATGGTTGCTGGAGGAACCAATGTTCATTGGCCCAAATCTTTTCCTTTGTGGAGGAAAAAATCAGTTTGCTGGAGGGAATTTTCAGCAGCAAATAATCCTGGGTGGAATTGCTGACCCCTCTTTGCTCCCTCGTGGGTGGTGGTCCACCTTTGACCACAGCATCCACCAATGCATTTTAGTTTTTAGAACGGTGTGTCCCCCTGCTTTTCTAATAACGGTGGCCATTAGGAATGGAAAAGCTGCTTAGGCATACCCTTAGCTACTTATTGCACTCGACATGTCCTGTTCCGGCCTGCGCTTGTCTACAAAACATACAAAAAAGGTCCAGGCTGGATGACACCTCAAAATGCGCTATCTCGCCTAAGAAAAGGTTGGACCGGGTGAAAAGTTATGTGGAGTGAGACATAGATACGTTTTCTCCCCAAATTTCCATGCTGTAGCTTGCATCTGTATGTATTCATATTAAATGCTGTTCTTCCTGCAGGGACTTAGAAGCACCTACGTGGTTCTCTCCCTGCCTGTGTTATCCTCTTAACTAGCTTTAAGATAGGATGGGAGAGATAATGGAAGGTGACTGGGTCAGGGATACCCGATGAGCTTCATGGCTGAAGGGGGATTTAAAACTGCATTGCCCCACCAAGCTAATCACAGCACTAAACGTGCTAAAAACAACTTAAGGCTTCCTCATGATCAGATCCAGCTCTGAATTCTGCAGAGCCAGAATTGCAAAGCTGGAGTCCTCTTGAGTTGGACCAGTGATCTTTCTTTCTCCTCCCCCCTTCAGAACGCCTTATCTTTCTAAATGAGACTCTGGGGGCTGGAGGCCAGGATGCGTTCGCCTGCCTAAATTCCTCCCCAGGGCTGGCCATGGCGTCACTCCGTGCTGCACGGCTGCTTTCACCTGTTGGATGAACTCTGATGTAAGCCTCCAGAGGCAAGAACCCCCCCCCGCCCCCGCTTCAACATGAGACTTCTGGGAACTTTCACGCCACAGCTGCTCACAGGGGCCAAGAGCTCACACTTGAGCAAAGACAAAGGCTGAACTAATCCCTTGTTAATTAAGATCCACAAATTCCCATACCTTTACATAGGGCCGAGTTGCTTCAACCATCACTTTCACCGGTGCTGGTAGTAAGTCTGCATTATCAGTTGATCAAATAGTTAGTTAGGCATCCTTCAGTCTCGAAAGACTATGGTAACGTGTTCTGTATGGAGGATTTGAAATAGCATCTAGTGTGGCTGAGGAGGCCGATTTGAGAGTGACAATCCCTTCCACACTGAAGACAAATTCAATCTGTCCCCTGTCCAGCTCCCTGGTTTTGCTGCTTTTGTGACTTCCTCTTTGCCTCAGCCTGCTGGACAAGGGTCTCTTCAAATTGGGAGAGGCTGTGATGCAAGATCAAATAGATGTTAATACTAATTCACCTTTGAACCCTATCAGTTGATTTCTATCTGCCTTGTGATAATTGGATTCCAATATTCTTTATTAATGGATATAACAGCATCTCCTTTACCTGCGCTGCTTCTGACACTGAGAAGAAATTGTGTTTGGTCTTTTGTGCTAATTTTGTAGGGCTTTGCAGCCCTCTGATTACACACCCTAAGCTGGATCACTGGTCCATCTGAGGTGGAGAGTCTGTGGCACTCCACATGTCGGTGGACTCCAATTCTAATCACTTTCAGCTACCAAAGATGATGGCTGGGGACGAGGTTGTTATGTCAGAAAATGAACAGCTTCCCAAGACTCCTATAGACCTTTATAAACCTGTAGGAAAAAGCATCATCGTGTGAAGATCTGGATCTATCCTCTGGCAAAAATCTGGACTGGGGGTGGAGGGGATTGGAGTCACCAAGCCCACCTAAACGGACCAGCAAGTGGTTTCTCCAACCTTTTGCTAGAGATGCAGGGAACTGCTGGTAGCTCCATTTCAGATAGTAAGCTCAGATCTGGACTGGGGGGGAGGGGATTGGAGTCACCAAGCTCACCTAAACAGACCAGCAAGTGGTTTTTCCAACCTTCTGCTAGAGATGCAGGGAACTGAACTGGTAGCTCCATTTCAGATAGTAAGCTCAGCCTTGTTCACCTTGCATGATATCCAGTCCCTGCTAATGGCACTTCTCCCTCTGCACCCTCGTCTGTATTTCCTGCAGCCTAGGATGTGGGTCACAACAGCTGTCGGTGCTTGTTTGCTGCCAGTTGTTTTCAAGGTGCCGTGCTGTTTCTCTCTAATGAGCGATCTCTGGTGGGGGATATTTTCCACTTCCTAACACTCGTTAATGATAGAGCATGACAGTCCCAGGGTCCCGAGTGTGGGCAGGGAGTTACCAGCATAATTGGGGCTAAAAGACACAGGGATACAAGAGAGGTTTTTGAACCTTCCAGGAAAGCAAGAGAGAAGATGGAGAGAGACACAAATAAACCATTTTTGCACGAGGAAGGAGTCTCTGAGTAGGGCTTCGTTAGCACCAGAAGTGGAGGGTCGCCAGGTTTAACAAAGCCAGCCAGTGGGAACAATGGAGGAATCAATGTAAAGGTGGACAGACAATCACAGAATCATACAGCTGCCTAGAATGGTCGTTTTGACCGGATAGGCAGGGTACAAATTGAATGAATGAATGAATGAATGAATGAATGAATGAATGAATGAATGAATGAATGAATGAATTCATGCATGCATGCATGCATGCATACATACATACATACATACATACATACATACATACATACATACATACATACATACATACATACATACATACATACATACAATTGTAAAATATCCCACATTCGATGCGGGGAAAGACCCAAAGGGTCTACTAGTCCAAACTCCATCCAATGTGGGAATTTACTACTGCATTTCCCCCGTTGGTTATTCTCTGTTTCTCTTCACTGATTATTGTTGTTAAAGTTCTCTTTGTCACTATGTGACAGTTGCTGAAAAACTGCATTCAGGGCTCAGATTCATATCTCCATCACCTTTTTCTTTTGCAGGGGACATTTGGGGGGATTAAGCTAGACTTAAGCAAGGAAACCCTGCTCAGCATGATGGACTGCACCCCCCCTTTTTTTAGTGGGGCTCCAAGGACTGCCCTCAGCAGGAATGGTCTCCATGGTTCGGGGGGGGCTGCATTCTTCCCCCCTTCTGTGCTTAAAGCCTTCCCCAGCCTTAATGTTGAGAGGAACTTCAACAGTGTGTGAGGGGCACAAAGGTTTTCAAGTCGATGAGCCCAATGCAGGGTTAACTTGGGGCTGCTTCTATGATGGAGCGACAGCATCTGGAGGGACAAAAGGCACCTCTGGGGCTGCATGAGCTCTCCGATGCGCTCATGCAACCCCAAGGCCCTCCTGCCCAGCTGGGCACCCCCAAAATAATGTTTACAAATTATCCCCAAATTGCAAATCATGAAACTGAGAGGATGCTGGAAGGTGCTATTTACACACTACACGCCCCTTCCCTTGTTTTAGCCTTTAAGAGGCCTTAAAATATTTTTTAAAAGAAAAAACAGTTAAGCATAGAAGAAAACCGTTTTTTTTTAATGTATATCTTTGTCATGTATTTCTGTAAATTGTGATTTGCTGGTGGAAACAGATCCTAGAACTGAATTCTGCCCAGGAGACGAAGTGGGTGGGCAGTCCCAGCATGCTGAGAACCCCAGATACGGGACTCTAAATGTCGTTCATTTCTACCAGCCCATAAAGCAAGGGTAAGGACCTGGGTTGCTGTCAGACTTCAAGTCCCATCATCCCCAGCTAGCCTGGCCAGTAGACGGGGGCCAAGGGAACTGTAGTCCCCCAAAGGTTGTAGGTTTCTCATCCCTGATCTAAGGGTGCAGGGCCACAAATATTAGCCTGGTGGGCAAAGCCCAAAACCTACAATGGAGGTTGAAGACCTTTGCCAGCAGGACAAAGCAGCCGGTCCCAAAAGATTAAGAAAGCTTCCCAAGTTCTCCAACAAGCAAGGCAGGATCCGAAGCAGAACGAGAGGGATCAGAGAGAAGCCTGCAATGGCAGAAGAGCTGCAGTTCTTGGCAGAACTGAACTGGAACCTAGAAGGGGGACCGGCCTTTTGGCTTAAAGGAGCCTCTGGAAAGGGACCTCCAGAGCCAACAGCCACAGATCTCTCTCTTCACTCCTTATTTTTATTTGTTTATTTTTTTAAGAATACAAAAATATATTAGGATTTACTGAGTCCCCCCTCAAGCGCAAGAGGAAAATGCGCACCATGCTTTGGAAAAGTGCGTCAAGTGATGATAACCTTTCTGTGAGCAAAGCTAAGCGCCCGGTGGGGCTGGGAAGGGATGCCTCGGATCAAGCGTGAAAAGGATCAGGAGCTTGGGAAAAACCGCTTTTTAAGGAGCCTCCCTCCCAGACGTTAAGAGTCCGGTTTTGGAGATGGCCAGGGCCAGAAACGGCCCTTCCCGCTCGGGACCCTCCCCAGGCCCTGGCCAGGTGGGTGGGTGGGTACCTGGGAGGTCGGTAGGCTTGGAGGGGAGAGGCAGACCCCCTTCCCAACACGCAGCCCAACTCAAGAAGCCGACCCGGGCGCCGCCTTCTCCTCCGCGGCTTTCCTTACCTTGCAAGATCTCCGCCAAGGCTCTCTCGTCTCGGGGACCGTGTGGATGCGCCGCTGCGCGCCCTCCGCCCTGGCTGGGTCTCTTTCTCTCCCTCCTCCCGAGGCAGGGCCGGGGCGCTTTGTACTGCCTCTCCCGCCCCCCGCCCCCCGCCCCTGGGCGCCCGGTGTGCCTGCCTCCTCCCTGCCTCGGGAGGAGAAAAGCGGATGATGGTCGTCTCCAGGGGACAGCAAACCCGTCTGATTCGGGCAGAGAGACCCGGGAGCGGAAAGAGGCGAGGAGGAGCGCTGCGCTTTAACGGATGGAAAAGAAAAGAAGAGGGAGAGAGAGATTCTTAGGCAGACCTCGGAGAGGGCGGCGGTGGAAAAGCGGCTTTTGGGAAACGAGGACTCCCAGGATTTCCCAATCATCAATGGGAGTGGTCCAAATAAATTAAAAAAAGGAAAAACTGAAATTCAACTTTCCCAAGCTCTAAGCATCATAGACACGAGTGATCTTTCCTGCGTGGATTCCAGAGGTTCCCCAACTTGGAGTAGTTTTCCATCCTCCCCAAGCATTAGCGGCTCTGTCTGGGGCGAATGGAGCTTGTCATCCACGACAACATCCTATTTTCCCAGGTAGGGGAAGGATGAAGACCGGAGGGCCCGGCGTGCTCTGGTCCGTGGGGTCACGAAGAGTCCGACATGACTTAAGGACCAAACAATAACAAAGGGGGAAGGATCGTGGCTAGATTTAGGCACTTCAGGCTCTGTGGGCCCCTGAAACACAAAAATTACAACACACGGCTGTGACAAACCCAGACCTACTGGGATCTGTCACACAGTTACACTAAGCTGCCACCAACCATTCCCTATAAGAAGTCACACAGACCAGGGATGGATTTTTAAACAAATAAAAAGAATAAGGTTTATTTAAATACACACAGGGAAAAATAAACAATCAGGTGAATAGGATAAAGTAACGTGGCTTATTCTCACTCATACAAGCATACAGTTTGGTTCACACAGAACCCTTAACTTAAAGCACAGACCCTGAACCTATCAGTTCTGGCTAACCAACAGACACCTGAACCTATCAGGTTGGTACTCTGACACACAGTAGTACCCTGTCTGACACACAGACTCCCACAACAGCTTCTTCTTCCCAGCTGCTGCTTCGTCACATCCCAGCGTCTCTCAGTGTCTCTTTTTCACCACACAGGCTCCACATATATATACAGTACAGCCCCTCCTCCTGATGTCCCGCCTTCCACTCCCCATAGGATGGAACTTTCCCTCCAAACCCATGACAGACAGGTAACATCAGTGCTGTATGTAACAACGGCAAATCACCAGATTTGTTTATTGAGTTCTTTTATGCATGACTTTAGTTTATAGTCCACCCCATGAGTGCAGAAGCGCTATTCTGAGCAGTTTACATCAACTAAAAACTATACAAGCATACATTAAAACCAACTTAAAACAAATAGCAGCAATGATTAAAACTACTGTAAATGGTACCAAAGACAATTTCCCACATCATTTATTGCATATCATTGGAACTTATACATAGTACATAGAAAAGTTAAATGAATTATATATCTGAAGTAAATACAGAATTATTGTATTTTTGAACAGAGGGGGCTGCAGGGCCATTGACACTTTGGCCCCCTTATAAATCCAGCGCTGGGAAGGATAGCATCCCTCAAAAACACTGGTTACAAGCCGGTCATTCAGAGGTATGCACCCCACAACTGTATTCTGCAAATATTCTCACATGTTGTCAAGGGGATGTTATACTATGCATTTATATACAGCATCCTCTCTCACTCTGCCCTAGAGATGTGCTGGACTACAACTTCCATCATCCCCATCCCGCAGGGGATAAAATAAGTGTCCCCCAAGTCAGTGCACCCTCCCAAGATGGTGGGGGTTGTAGTTCAACCTCTCTAGAGGACAAGGAGAGGTTGGGGGAAAGCCTGCCGGTGGCGTCGCTTGTACTGGAGGGCTTTCCCAGTGAAGGGCCGGCCAGGTTCATGGGAGGGAGGATTGGGTGCCAGTCGGCTTCTCTGCCCCCCCCCCCGCACCTTAAGCAGCCCGAAGCCATCCTGGGAAACTCAGCTTGTGGATTCTAGGAACAGGTTCAATCACAGTTCATCATCATCCACTGACCTTAGACTTACCTTCCCGGAGGGAGCAGGCATCTCACCAAAAAGCACTGAATAATTAAGGAGTACTACAAATGGGGGTCACCATGACATCATCTGAGTGTTTCCATCAGCGTTATGCCGCACCCTCTCCTTGCATCTCCCCCTGGTTCCCCTGAAGGCACGTCAGGAAGGCCAAATCCTTTCTGATGCCAGGTGCCCCACAGCAAGGGGTTGTGCCCATTTTAGGGGGTTGCCAGCCATTTCATGTTAGATTATGTGCCATCATGCCAGAATGAAGGAATGGCCACCCTTATCGGGCTTTTAAAGTACGTGAGATATCCAGGGAGTGGCTTTACCGCTTCCACCCCCTCCATGGCCAACTGGGGATTTGAACCCAGATCCTCTTAGCTTTATCCACTACACAACACTGGGTCCCTTCTTTCACATCCATCAAAATTAGTGCTCGTCCACCACAACGTGCAGCAGGATGTTCTATAAATTAATTACATGCCATGTGGAGCTGGTGTTGTTTTCTTCCATCTGCTTTGAATCTGTCACCAACCTTCTCCAGTGGATGATTTTGTATTTCAGCATTGATGGGCATCTACCTCAGCTGCAGATTTAGATTAGGATCATGGCTACAGACTTGACCCTGGCCAGCAGCTTCTTCTTGTTCGTTGCTGAAACAGACTAACATGGCTACCTTGTTGGAAATCATTTAGCCTGCAAGCGTTGGACTTCCTGAGCCTTCTTTTGACATGTTAAGCTAAAAGGAATCCTCCTGTTCTGGAACTGACTCTTTCTTCCCTGGGAGTCGTCGTCCTGGGGACTCAAGGTTGGGAACCACAGCTTCAGCAGTACAGTATGGGCTCCTAATATTAGGCCTGGCCTCATTCCTAGAGTCAGATGAATTAGATGGGGAAGAGAAAAGTCTTCCAAATATCCCCCATTTTCCAGATACCACATGACAATGTCTTGCTTCACCTCCTTAATCTGGAAGTTGGAAGAAAGTTAAGATTATTTGGGGATTGCATCTAACCACTAGAGGCAAGTGATCCTCCAATCAGGGGCTTATATGGTAGGACTATCATTGGCACTGAACATGGTGGGAGCATCTCCAACTTCCCCTAGAAAAGACCGGAGATACAGGAGGAGTGTTGGTGGCAGTGGCTGCGCCAGCAGCATTTCCATCATCTCCTTGGACAGATCAAGGAGGCATAAGACAGGGGTTAAGCCCCCATGAACTCCAGTAGGGCTGCTCCAGTCCCAATGAAATCCTTTCCTCCTGCCACCACCATCTAAATCCAGTTTTCACAAGCGGCCCACGCCTGTCTATCAGCCCTTCACATAATTCCAGAACATTATAACAAATATATGGGGCTTTAAGTAGACCCTGCCCACAGGACTGCCCAGTCTTCTTTCCTGCCACACACATAAGCGGTCTTTCCATAGAAATTTCCCCATTGCCTCCCCAGGGTTTTCCAGATGCTACCTATCCATGGGAATGTTTGCATTGTGTCTCCCCCATCAGGATTGCTTAAATAAGAGCAATGCATGCAGATAAATGATCTATTGCAGGGAGGGGAAGGAAATAGGTAGATATATCTGTCACTCAAGTGTTTTCCCCTCTTGTCTTTTCTAGATCTTTATGTAGATTGGCAATATTAAGACTTCCTTCCTACTCACAGGACAGATGACATCAAAATCATTTCCTGGTTTTTCTTTTCTTTCTTACTTGTAGAAATAGTAATCAGCAGATTTGCACACATATGAACCTGCACCAGAGGCTTCTCCATCTATATTCAGGATAATTTTTTCCCGGCAGTTCTATAATTTGCAATAAATCATTAGTTTGGTGTTCCCTTGACCTAATACGTGTTCAGCAGAGGGACTACTACTTCTCAGTAGCCACATGTTCAACCCTAGGCCACTGGAATCTGCTAGAAAATCCTGTGGATGACATTTCTCCCAGCTACAAATAATGTCTCTCCCCAGCTTTGCCACAGAGAGTATGACAGCGACGAAGTGCATTCCATGCAGCAAAATGAATATTTATTCATTTTAGGGGCCACACCCATGTGTTCTAGTTAACTCAGAGCTTCTCCTGCCAGTTCTGCTGGGCTGAACACCCCTCAAATAACTCCTCAAGCAAACTTCCTTCCCCCCCACCCCAGCTGAGCCCATGAAAAGCAGTCCTCCTAGCCAGGAAAGGTTTTCTGAACTCTGACTGACCCTGTGGCAAAACTTTCCCACCCAAGCGAAGTGGGAAATGGGAAGCCAAAGTCCGCACTGTAGCGGAAAACCTATTGCTTCCACCCTCTTATGCGGAGAGCATGGAAGGCCATGAATAATCTATTTAGAAGGCGGGGAGGGGATTATGTCAAGAACCAAGAGGTGCAGGGTCACAACAAGAGCCACCATGAAATATGCAAGACCCCCCTCGATGCTCGTGCAGAAACCGAGGGGCGAACGTTGATTGGACCTGACGGATCAGAGTCCCCACTGGTGGGGGAGCCGGCCGCGACACACGGGCGCCGGTTCCACTCACGGAAGCCGGGCGACCCAGGTGTGGAGTCACGCAACAGCACAACGTCTTGAGAGCACACCACGAGGGTGGCAGGTGGGCTCAGCCAAGTGAGACAACCCACCGAGCAAGGTGCCGAGAAGTTCTCATCGCTTCCCCTACACCTGTTTCCATCTCGGCCGGGGGGATCTCCGTGGGTTCAAGAGTGAAGACGACAAGGCGGTCCTTCCCCTTCTCTCCACCCCAGAACAGGGTCATGGCATGCGCAGATGGCTTCAGATCCGTGTTCATGGCCAGCGGTTTGTCAAAAATTTGCTTTTTTTTTTTTTACCACTCCCCGGCTGAAGTACTGGGTGGTATGGCAAAAACAGCAGCCTGCTAAAGACCTCCAAGTAACTTCCTCAAACTTTGTTCAACTCCGTGCCTGGATGAAGCAAAAATAATATTTGTAAAGTGCAGCGAGATGAGAATTTTTTTCTTCCTGATCCTGCAGTTTACTAAGATGCATAAATGTTTTCATATTGAAGACAGAGAGAGGAGGAAAAGAATGAGAGAGAAAGTTAAACAAGAAATTCAGTTATGCAGGGCAGTAAGTATTTAACTTTGAAGGGCCTGGGTTTGAATCCCCATGTACTCCGCCACATTAGTGGGGAATTTAGGTTGCCACAGTTCTCTTTGTAAACCCCTTAATTATTTTTACCACAAATGTCTCAGAGTGAGTTATTGAGACCTTGATTGCCAGTTAACGAGAAAGGGGTGGACTATCTGGAGAACTTGAAGCTATTCTGCCCTGTGAATCCCTGCACATCCGCTATATAGACACAAGGAATCTTATTAGAAAGTCCTCTTCTTGCTGAGAACAACTGCATTAGTTAAATCTGGCTGGTGGAAGTTGCGAAGAATTTGGTTTTCATTCATATTCACTTAAAAAGTTATTTCCCAACCACATTGCTGACCACCCCAGTATCTGTGTGCGCGGTCTTTTACCAAAAAGGAGACGTTGGGGCTGATCCCATTTTGTTGGACATATTCTATTAATACAAAATTGTCCTTCCAGATGGAAAAGCACAAAGACACCTATTTACTTTCTTAACTTTATTTCATTTCATTTATTTTCTTAAGTTCTACTGGCAAGATTCAGGAACACTGTTCCACCTGCCGAGGAAAGTGCGATGCTCTGGTTCCAACAGGCTTATTTTTGAATCCGTGGGGAAAGGGAAAGAGTGTTGCAAGAAATGCATTAAAAGGCAGGGAGGTGCAGACACAGCTGGCGCTTCTGTTCCACTGGATGAAGTAGTGAGTCCAGATGTGACCAAAGGCATTCTTTCCATATTAAGCGTTTCTCTCTTCTGGGGGTATATACTCCAAACCTAAATGCTGGAAGATTTCCTTCTCCGAGGCTGCCGACATCCATGTTTTCTTAAAAGGAAAGTGAAGGAGCAGAAGAACCAGAGGGTGAATTTATTTTCTCCGCATCCTCTCTATCCCCTGGGGGAAACTGTAAACTCTAGACTGAAGACAGACAGCACACAAAAAATTCGCCCTCAGAGTAACTAGTGATATGTCTCCTGGGACCGAGGGTTCTCATTCTGGCCGAACTTTCTGTTGTAAGCCATCTACGGCAATGGCAGTACATAAATAAATGACCCTAAAAATGATTAACATAATAAAAATGATAATTTCACCCTCTTCGACCTGCATAAATGGCACAACTTGAAGAACAGGATGCACATTTGAAGTGTATGACTAGGAAGTGTTTTTCTGTTAATTCTTACACAGGATATGAACACAACTGCCCCATTATCCTTATCCACCAACCGGTTTATTTAATTAAGCAGGACAGATACTGCCAAAATGAATGCAAAGCATGCCACCCCACCCCAAATAATTAAAGGAACAAAAAACAAACAGCCAAAAACCCACAGATTTTTGGTCACTTTTAAATGAATTCCAATTGACGTCTTCCCATGACCCATAAAAGGTCACAGTAAAAATTTTTTTTTAGTGATATAATACTTTGTTTGATTTGCATCTTTGCCGTTGCAAGTCTAATATAGCTCCCTCTTGAAAAACACGGAGTCATTCTCCTTTACGCCATTTACACAAAAAGGCCCCAAATGCACTTCTCCAAGGATCAGCCCAATCCAGGAGGAAAAGCACAGGCGAAAAAAGGGGCCCTTTGAAGAATGATGCTCAGGCCCTTCTACGTACTTGGCCGCCAGAGGAATACAACCACGTACCTGCTCCAAGTGATAGAGGGTGTGGCTGTTCAGGAGCATCTTCTTTTCCCGCTTAGCGAAGCGCCTGAGGTCCCGTTCAAAGATCTGGGAGCAAAAGGGAGGGGCGGTCAGGGAGCCCTTTCCAAAGAGGCTGAATCAGGTCCGTTCAAAAATTTAATAGGTTCTAGTGAACTTGTGGTAGACATACATGGAGGAGTCTGCACACAGCATCTCTGAAAGCTGAACTGTTCAGGTCTGGCTTCTCCCCAGCTAACTGATCTTGGAAGAGAATCGTGGGATAAAGCCACCCTTCTCAGTAAACAGACGGAGACAATATAATGTGTTTTGGGCAGCCCCTGGACAGAAAGTGACACCACCATTTCATTGAGACATGAGCTTTGGGGACACCTTGGACAGCCAGAAAGATGAACAAGGGAGTCCTAGATCAAATCCAACCTGAACTATATCTCTGGAGGCAAACATGATGAAACTGACGCTGTCCTACCTTGGGCCCATCATGAGATGGCGGGGTTCTCTGGAAAAGACAATAATGCTGGGAAAGGTGGAAAACAGCAGGAAAAGAGGAAGACCCAATATGAGATGGACCGACTCTCTAAAGGAAGCCACAGGCTTGGGTTTGCAAGAGCTGAGCAAGGCTGTTGAGGACGGGACATTTTGGAGATCACTCCTTCGTAGGGTGGCTATAAATCAGAGGTGGCTTGGTGGCCCATAACAACAACAGTTAATTTCTACAATAAAAACTATGAAACATGGAACAGAATCAGTAACATTGAGCTAAGGCCTTCCTTAGCTCCCCTGAAGCTGGCAAGAGCTATGTGGAAGTATTTTGGAGATGATCTCAAAGAAAGACCCACAACCCGAACCATCTTGCATGATCTTCCTTTGCCATCTTGTATAATCTATTAATTTACTAGCGGATGTCACAATTTTTGTGTATATTTGTTGTTTTTATTTAAGTATCTGGAAGCCGCCTAGAGTGGTCGCAAGACCAGATGGGCGGGGTATAAATGAAACAAACAAACAAACAAACAAACAAAATGGCAGCTGAACTTACCCTTGATCCTGTCCAGCCCAGCAAAGCAAAAGGGAACTGACTGTAGGGAGTCACAACCAAATCCACTCTTACAGCTTTCCAAAAACGAGACGCTCCAGAAGTCCTTCTCACACGGCTGGGCTTCTCAGCCCCAGCGCCTTCCTGTGCATCCCCAGGGAGGTCACCAAGGCAGAAAATGGAGAAGCATCGCTCATACTGATCCATTGAGCTTGCATGGCTGCTCGGCTCTTGGTCGCTGTCTTCAAGGGACTCGAAAGTGTTTCTGTGGATACTGTGATACAGCAGGAAGCCCTGGGAGCAAAGCAGAGGGAAAGAACACAGCCCCTTTGCTGACCTCAGCTGAGAACCCAGACATATTCTAGTTTTTAAAAGTGGGTAGGAGTAAGGTTTTCCTGATGAGCTTCTCGTTTGAGTTGCCTATCAAGGCACATGGGAAGTGAGCCCAGAACAGACTCATGCAGAGTTGCACCGTCCAAGTGGGGCAGTTACAGGTTAAAATGTTCTGCCTGGAATACATTTCCCCCCCCCCCAATCCATGTGAGGCATTTACAGGTTAAAATGTTCTGACTGGAACACATTTCCCACCCCCCAATGCAAAAGTAGGAATCCTGCAGCTGGTGGCTCAAACACTGCAGCTGTTTCTTTGGCTTCCGGATCTTTCCTGTATATTCTGTCCTCCCGTACTTCACTTTTTTGAAACTCAAAATGTAGGAAAACCTAAGGGGCATAACTCTCCTTTAAAACAAGAAGCCAGTCTTCTAAAAGAAGACTCCCCCCCCCAGCACCTTAACTTAAAAGACATTCTGAATCCCGGCACCCTTAAACGGAGGTTTTGACCTTATCCAGAAAAGGGCTTTCTGGGTGCTTTGTCTGGGAGATCTGTCCTGGGGTACCAAAAATGTTCCCCCAGATCCCTGGAGTCTGTTGTAGTGGAAAGATAGGACATGAAAATAATAAATGGGAGCTAACCTCCCATTGCGCATGGCGCTCAAAAAGCTTGACCCGCCACCGGGTGGGCTTCATAGGAGACCAAAGAGACTCAGGCAGAGATGCAATAGGGCAGCCTGTTTCGAGGACAGTCCGGGCTGTGCTCTCTCTCTCTTTCTGCGGCAAGAGCCAAGGAACGACCTGACCAAAGCCAAGTGGATAAAAATGCAGGAATACCATTTTCCCTTTCCGTCTGGCAGAGACATACCCGGCAGGCTCTCAGGCAAGGGGTCGCTTAGGGCTCTCAGAGGTGCTATGTGACGGCATTGTCTTGCAGAATCGAGAATGACCTTTATTGGGCTTTAGAGCATTTTCCAAAGGTGCTGGACCCGATCTCTTGTTGGTTTCCAGTGGGAATATCTTCGAGACAAGTTTGTCTTTTTTTGCAGAAGGCTCCCCCCTCCACGGTCTTTGAAGCACTTGGCAAGCCGTTTCCCTCACAAACTCTAGCTACCTCCTCACCGCCTCCAAACCCTCCGCCATACCTGTTGATCCAAGCAGGCAATGACCTTCTTCAGCAGCCCAGCTTCCTGGCCCTCCGTGGGGTGGGTGATGAGCAAGTCCACATCATGCCCACTCGGCTTCCCCCTGCGTCAGGAAGACACGAGTGAAGACGGCTCTGTCACAGAAAGCCAGAGAGGTAGAGTCTTTTTCTTCCTCGCACACAAAACTAGGCAGCATTCTGGTCAGTTCCAGTTCTAATGGCATTTTCAAATATTCCTGCCTATTTCAATCTTGTGGGATCCACTGTTAAGGGAGGATCTAAGACACAGGAATGAGAAGCAGTGACACCAATACAGCGGTGCTCAACTGCTGGCTCTCCGGCTGCTTTGGGCGTAAAATTCCCAGAATCCATGATCCTAGGCCATGCCGGCTGAGACTTCTGGGGGGATGAAGTCCAAAATGTCGAGAGCAGGGGTTCCCAACCTTGGGTCTCCAGCGATGAAGTCCAAAATGTCGAAAGCAGGGGTTCCCAACTGTGGGTCTCCAGCTGTTCTTGGACTGAAACTCCCAGAAGCCTTCGCCACGAGCTGCCCTGGCCAGGATTGCTGGGAGTTGTAGTTTAAGAACCTCTGGGGGCTGGGATTTGTAGTCCCTCTGGGGGACCCAAGGCTACTGATCTAGAGGACCACAAATTAAGAACCATGCCATTTGTGCCTTCTCAAACTTGAGACTGAGTATCTATCATCCCCAAAACGTCACCTTCTAAGACCCAAAGGCTAATGATCTAGAGAACCATTCCATGCAGGACTTCTCTTGAGTTAGAGACTGAGGATCTATCATCCCCAAAACGTCACCTTCTAAAACCGCCAGTCAGAGTCACAGAGGCACTGGGCAAGCACTTATTGACCGCTTCCCGGACCACCTGACCAATCGCCTCCGCGTCAGCGCGCTTCACGGGGGTGTTGAGGTCCTCGTAGTGAATCAGGCCTGCAAGAAAAAATAGGCCCGTTAGTAGAATTCCACAAGTACTGAACACTGGGATTTACAAAAAATAACATGCAGGGGACAAATTAAAAATTCTGGCAGACGTGTACCTGCCAAGGAAAGGCATCTACCTTGCAGGCAGAATGTTCTAGATTCAACCCACGGAGAGAACTGTGAAGAACCACCGTCTCCAAGGCCAGCCCTATCGTGAGGGAGAGAGAGCGAGGCAGGTGCCTCAGGCCACAGATTGGGATAGTAAATTGGCAAGTTATTTAATCTGTTGGCGGGCCGAATAGTTCCATGGTTTAGGTCTCTGGCTGTGGAACCAGAGGTTGGGAGTTCGATTCCCCCACTGGGAAGAGCCAGCCTGGGTGGCCTTGGGCAAGCTGCGCATTTCCCAGGTCTCCCCCTAGAGGAAGGAAAGGGGAAAGCACTTCTGAATATCCTGTACCTGGAAAACCATGAAAAGGCTCCCAATAAGTCAGAAATGACTTGAGGGAATACCACGATGGTTGCTGAATTTTTATAGCCCAGTGATGGGGAGAGGAAAGGTACCCCATTGTCCTTTCTGTGGGCCATATAATTCCACTCGCCTGCTCTGTTTACTGACCGGCCTGCTGCTCTTTGCTCAGCTGTGCAGGATGCCCCCTCAGGTCGTCCAGTGTCCTCCGCCCTTCCTGGTACCACTGGTGGGCTGTCTTCACCCCAACACCAAAGATCTTGGTGAAAAGCTGTGGGACAAAGTCCATCATCAATGTCACCACCAAGAAAGGATTCCCTAGCATACAATACACACACATCTTACATATGCTATTAGTATTCACATGGCCTGCCTGGGTATTCCACATGGAAACCCTGCAACCCCACCCCCATATAACCCTCCTCTAGAGCCACAGCAGAAGACTGGCAGAAATGGGACCCTTTCTGAAGCATGGAAAAATTAGGCTTTGAATTCCACTCCCAACATTTACCAGCCAACATAAAAACCACTGGAATAATTACTATGTGCTGTCAAGTTGGTTCCAACTTCTGGAGAACCCCCCCCCCCAGTGTTTCCTAGGTATAAAGTACTTGGATGTGGTTAACTGGCCCCTCTTCCTGGCTACTCTAGGACCCCTCCTGCCTCTCACCCAAGGCCCTCAGTTGGCCTCTCTCCTGAGAGGTGTTCTGGGGATTCAAACTCACATCCTGGCTCTCCGCAGCCAGTCCCCCAACCTACCGAGCTGTATCAGCTACATAATACTAGTACTTGGGAAAACTCCGTTCAAGGCTAGATTCAAAATGAGGGCAGGGTTGGAGCTTAAGGGCACTTAAAGCAGCAACCGTTCTACAGAAAGACAGATTTGATGGCTGACAGAGAGGTTGAAAAAGTTACTTTTTGTAAAAAAACAAAAACCTATCACTCAGAATTCCTCAAGATGCACAGCTTTTAGGAGTTATAACCCCAGAATGTATATTCTTCCAAGCTCTGTTTCTAAACGGAAGTATATCTCAATGTTTTGCTCACTGAGGAGGTAACCGTGAAGCTTCCTTGATGCTTTGTGGCTCTCTCTTCTCCTCTGAGATGCAAAAAGGGGTTAAAGCCAGGGGGTGAACAGCCGTCTCCCGAGTCTTTGCCGGTGCCCGACCCTGGCTTCCGAGGCCTACCACAGTGGTCAATTTGCAACAATATTCAAAAATTGGATGCCTGGAGAAAGCCACTTCCTCCTGCATAGTCATTTTCATTGCTTTGATGACTTGTGTGAATGGTGCTAAAGTTACTTCTGAGTAAAAAGAGAACAGATCCGCCATCCCTACCAATTCCACCGCACCATCGGCTAAGTCAGTTTCCTGGTCTTGTCAGTTTCGTGCCCAAGTAAAACTTTTCCGGTACAAGCCTACGAAAGGACACCTACTCATTTTCCCATTTACAGAAAAAAAAAAAAAGATTTAAAGTATTCTCAGCATGGGACAGGAAATGTGAGTTACACACAGCAGATCAGGCGTTCTTCACAATTGCACCATGAGGACACCGTACAGCGCTGACCGTAATTTTGGAAATGTATTTTTCTGGCGCATGGCTTAGCACGCTGCTGGAGCTTGCAAAATGGTTATCTGTTAAAGAGTCTACATTGTTTTTAATCTGTTAGTTTTATGTTTGTTTAGGTTTCTGTTCCCTTTTTGTAAACTGCCCACCACAGCACTCATGGGGTGGTATATATGCAAATCAAATCAATAAATCAAATCTGTTCAATGACAGGACATGCAAAACAGGGGAATCTATAATATAAATGTCAGATGTCTGAAAGAACTATATTGGCCCGTAGCTTAAGCTATCTACAGGCTTCCCTCATCTTTTTGTTAGACAGAAATGAACAACACAAACACCAGGCGCAAGAGCAGACAAACCCTTCCAAAGACTGCCATCGGGCATGGGAGCCTTGACCAAGTTCTCGGGCATGCGCTCCCCACCTGCAACACTCAGCTGCAACCATTAGTCTCCCCTGCCACAGACCTTCATCGTCTGGAATTTTTCTGACTGCTGGATCGTCTCCACCTCTGCAGATGTTCCGTCTTCCAGCACCTCCTGCTCAGGAGACATAAACCACTGCAAAGTCACTGAAATATCCTTATCTTAGCCCCCCGCCCCCCCAAACTGTCCAACATCAGCAGGAGAAATATCAGCCAGCACGGCCGGCTCATATGGGTGAAGCACCCACCAAATTCTCACTTCTAAGTATTGCTCAGCCTTTTGGCTAAGATCAGGTGTAGCATCTTCTTTGTAACTTTACTACTTTGTGAATGCAGTCGAGCGGAAGAAGATGCCAGATGGTTTGTGCCCAGAAGGTTCAATTCCTGGGATCAAAGGCCATGTAGGCAAGGATTCCCTGGCCCCATTGCCCGATTCTGGCCTGTGGAGGGTCTTCCACCTGGTTCCAGGGCATCTGCTCTCCTCTCTGTCCAGAGATGGGGTTGTTTAAAGCCAAGGAACATCTGGTATGCCACAACAACTCTGATTTTCAGGCCTGGAAGATAATGCATGCATGCATGCATACATTGCATGGGTGAAAATCAGTGAGATCTGCATTTGGCCCCTCTCCTGTGTGTCTCCTCAGTCAATGGATCAAGTTCACTGTTCTTGTGAAAGAGGGGACAGCCCTTAGAAAGGGAGCTGAATCCCTGGAGTGATGCTCCATTTACAGTACAGTATTCCTATGGTTTTGCCAGTAGCGATATATGGAAGCGAGAGCTGGCCTTAGGAAACGGAGCTAAATCCCTGGAGTGATGCTCCATTTACGGTATTCCTGTACCAATGGTGTAATCCAGGTCTTGAAACAGTCTTGTTTATGGTACAGCCCAGATAGCTGCTAGGGCTATCCATTTCATGTTTAAACTGTGGTGCTATGTATTTAATTGGCACACGGCAGCAGCAGCAGCAAGTGGAAATACAGGCAGGAAAGAAACGGAGCTAAATCCCTGGAGTGATGCTCCATTTACGGTATTCCTGTACCAATGGTGTAATCCAGGTCTTGAAACAGTCTTGTTTATGGTACAGCCCAGATAGCTGCTAGGGCTATCCATTTCATGTTTAAACTGTGGTGCTATGTATTTAATTGGCACACGGCAGCAGCAGCAGCAAGTGGAAATACAGGCAGGAAATGCATCTGGAGAATGTGGCAAGGGATAAGGAGGTTCACATAGTCAAAAGGTCCGCATAGTCAAAGCTATGGTTTTTCGAGTAGCAATATATGGAAGTGGGAACTGGACCCTAAAGAAGGCTGACCACCGAAGAATTGATGCTTTTGAATTGTGGTGCTGGAGGAGGCTCTTGAGAATCCCCTGGACTGCAAGGAAAACAAATCCATCCATTCTGAAGGAAATCAACCCTGAGTGCTCACTGGAGGGACAGATCCTGAAGCTGAGGCTCCAGTACTCTGGGCATCTCATGAGAAGAGAAGACTCCCTGGAAAAGACACTGATGTTGGGAAAGTGTGAGAGCAAGAGGAGAAGGGGTTGACAGAGAATGAGATGGCTGTACAGGGTCATCGAAGCAACCAACATGAATTTGACCAAACTCCAGGAGGCAGTGGAAGACAGAAGGGCCTGGCGTGCTCTGGTCCATGGGGGGGTCATGAAGAGTCGGACACGACTTAACAACTAAACAACAACGCGGCTCACGAAGTCCCTCACCTGGATAACCCTCTTGGAGTGCTCTCCTAGGCAGGGAAGACAATCCAGTTCCTGAACCCTCCTGACCGTCCGAGGCAAGGCCTTGAGCACCGAGGCGGCTCTCGAGAAGGCCAGGCTGCGTCCCTCGTGGCCACAGAAGTGGGCCTCTTCAGCCAGAGTTTCCAGGGCGTCCTGACAAAAGACAGGTGAGAAGGAAAACCCGTTCTGCCCAAACCAGGTGGGAAGACTCAGAAGCGGTCGGCATCGCGCCTCAGTCTCTGCTCGTGCGAAGTCTCTGGCCCGAGCGCACTCACATGCTCAGAGCTCAAGAAAGCTATTTTGAACTACAACTCCCAGAATCCCCAAGCCAGAAGGGTCCGTTGGAAGATTCCACAAACTGGTCATCCAAAAGATGAATATTTTCAAAGCTCTGGGCTTGACTGGCCTTAAGATATTTTGGTGTGAGAAATCCAGTGGCCCACCATCCCAAATACTGAAGATGACAGAGAGTGTGCCAGCTTTGTGTTTTTGGACTGCAACTCCCAGATTTCCTTGGGTAGCACTGGCCGTGCTGTCTAGGGATTTCCGGGAGTCATGGTTTGAAAGTGCAAAAATGGCACACCTCCAATCCAGAGATTCGGTAATCTAAAATAAATATTTTCTAGCTGAGCCTCTTGTTCTCTGGGCAGCCTTCTGCCCCGCTCCGTTACCCCTATCGTCAACCTTCATCTACCCCAGTCCCCAAAAACCAGAGGTGAGGCAAATTACTGTGAGCAGCTGATTGTTGTTCGGAAGCGGACTCCGGCGCTGGCAAGCATAGGCTGCCACCAGCCATGTATCTTGGGGCTTCTCCGCGGAGACAGTCACCTTGAGAAAAGAAGAGTGGATAGCAGGCTTTCAGGCCAAAGGATCCGAACCAGAAATCAGTGTTTTGGAAAACTTCTATCAGTTTTTCACATAGAAACTGATTCTCAACATATTGACTGAACCTGTGTTGTTTTGAGTAGAGCAAATTGCACTCGAGCAGGCCCACTGAATCAATGGAGATTGGGCGAGTCAACTCCTCCCTAGGTTTCATTGATTCAAATAGGCCGACTCTAACTACAAATTACGATGCTAAAGGCATCAGAAACAGAACACACAAACCCCCAGAAAGCTTTCGAAGTGATCTGAACACACTCTTAAAGGGAAACACTGAATCAGCCCCATGGGGAAGGGAACTGTCTACTTGTGTTGTTGTCGCTCTGCTCCTCTGCCTTTCACCTCCCTAGGTTTCTTTGATTCAAACAGGCCTACTCTAACTACAAATTACGATGCTAAAGGCATCAGAAACAGAACACACAAACCCCCAGAAAGCTTTCGAAGTGATCTGAACACACTCTTAAAGGGAAACACTGAATCAGCCCCATGGGGAAGGGAACTGTCTACTTGTGTTGTTGTCGCTCTGCTCCTCTGCCTTTCACAGCAAAGCAGTCCAGGGAGGAAGAACACGAGACTTCGCACAAACCATCCCCACCCCACAAGACGGCTTGCACGCCTGCAATCGTTGGGCGTTTCCCTCGGCTACCTGCCTTTTCCTCTTAGGTTTCATCTCTCAGCTAAATGGCCGCACGGTCTCATTAGAGAGAACGGAGGTGGCTCCTAGACCAAGGCGGAGCGGCCTCAAAGCAACACTTCAGGGCATGACAATCCCGCTTCCCCGGGCTCTGAATCATTCCAGGGTATGTAGGTATGTGTGGCCTAGGGGATGGAATGATGGACTAGGGCTCAGGAGGCCTGGGTTCGAATCCCTGCTCAGTCACAGAGGTTGTGGAACTGATAAACCCCCCCCCCACACACATGTGTGCATACAATAGTATACAATTGTATGTGTGTTTGTGTGTGTTTTCCACCCCATCCTAGTGTTATCCAGGACGATCTCTATCAAGTGCCCGAAAGCTCCCCCTTTTACCGTCAGGCAGTGTCTGGGTTTAATCTCCACCGGTCGCCCGGCCTGCATGCTCTCGGAGAACCAGCTGACGTCTAGCAGGGCCAGATTGCTCCCGCCAGCATCCACACAACCGTTCTGCTTCCTCTTCAGCCACTCGATCACCTCATCGCCAGAATTACCTTCCGACACCACGTGGGTCAGTCTCTCGCTGGGGCAGGCATCATGAGAAAGGGGAGAACCCGAACAAGCCTCCAGTTATAATCCCAACAAAGAGGCAATAATCTGAATTTCTGAGGCCACAACAGTCAAGCAACGGCTCGTATAAGGCTGCCCTTAAATACGTAAACAGGGTCCTTATGATGGGGGGGAATCAAATCACCTCCCAATGCAGAGTTTTCACTCGCCTACACTCCACATTGCTCGGTCCCATACCTGAGGCTGCAGATTAACTGACAGGGCACAAGGGCGGCCACTCGTGTGATCTACACAGCAGGAGTGGAAAATTTTAAGAGGGCTCGTCTAAAGCTGCCCTTTGATCTACGCAGCAGGAGTGGAAAATTTTAACAAACAGGTAGTTATTATAACAACAACCCCATAACCTCCCCAAAGAGAATTAAAACAAAAATTCTAGCAGCTGCATTGACTTATTTCAACTAACCTGTTCTAGAAGCTTTCACCTGCCCTAGGAGCAGGTTTTTGTAACGCTTATGTGTCTTAACAACTTCCTCAAGGTCATAGCTTACAGCGTATTGTTTCACAAAACTCCATTTTCTCTCTAGCTATGGGGAAGGCTGTAGTAATGAAAGCAGACAGGTGAGCTGAGCAGACAGGTGAGCTAAGAGAAAATGTCCTCCTTGTTCCACTGAAGGTCCACTTGAAACAACGACACTGCCATTGACGATTATCCTATCCTTTTATCCTATATTATTCTATGGGGCGCCCTACTTCCTCTCCTCACTCTGAAGTCCTGCTACCTAAAAGAACCAGCCCCCGCTTTGTCCATACCTGGAGGGCTCTTCCACCAGGAAACCCTTGGAGCGGGCCAGGTTAGTGAGGAAGGCTTTCCGGCTGGCCCCCATCCTCTTCTCCACCAGACACAGCACCACTCCAGGGAAACGCACCGGAGGATCCTCCCGCATGGCTGGTGGGGCGGCTTTCCGCGGGCGCCTCTTTTTCACAGGAAGCTGTGACATTGTGGGGTTTATCGAACCAAGCCTTTTTCCTTCCACCGCAATCCCAGGAAAGAACATAAATCTTGCATTTCAGGCAGGTTGTGGGGTGGAGGAGAAACCTGTAGAATAATGAATTATTATTAATGTATTATTAATGTATTATTAATATTATTATTATCCTCTTGATCCCCTTGCCGGCGCGGTGGACGGGGGGGGCATGAGAAAGGGCCTTCTCCGTGGCTGCTCCCCGGCCGAGGAATGCCCTTCCCTCGGCTTTCAATCTTTTTGGCAGGCTTTTCGCAATTAAATATCATCATCATCATCATCATCATCATCATCATCATCATCATCAATTGCTTCTTGCATCTTTCTAATGAAAACAAAAAATTAAGAGTTGAATTCGTTTCAAAAATCAGCTTTTGTGAGTTGATTATTTTTCCTTCTCATCAAAGTTTAGCTGGCTGGATGGCTTAATGCTTTAGGCATCTGGCTGCAGAGCCAGAGGTTGGGAGTTCGATTCCCCCCTATGGCTCCTTGACAGGAGCTGGACTTGATGATCCAGAGGGTTCCTTCCAGCTCTGCATTTCTTATGATGATGATGATGGACAGCTATGGGGTTTGGGCCTCTGGCTGTGGAGCCAGAGGTTGGGAGTTCAGTTCCTCACTGTGTACCCCAGAAGAACCAGCCCGAGTGGCTTTGGGTGAGCCGCACCATCCCAGGGCGTGCACACAAGTGGGAAGCCCCTTTGGAGTTTTCTTTACCTGGAAAACTCTGAAAGGGTGTAAGTCAGAATTGACTTGATGGCATATGATCATGACGACGACATAGCCGATGTTAATTCTAAGAGTTCTGTCAAAATAATCCCTTGACCATTGAAATGCTACTAAGAAATTAAGTTTTGCAACTGCTTCTGCAAATTGTTGCTATGGAACATTTCTGGACCTTGACTTGCCTGCCTCTGCATGACAGACAGACAACTCTGCACAGAAGTGGAAAGAAAGCAGAGGGGTGGTAATGCCATGTGTAAAGATCGTGGAAACACACTGGGCCTGGCGGCAGAGTAAAAACATGCAGAAGTGTCCAGAACGTAGGAACGTGGGTTTTGGGAACTACAACGGCCATCATCCCCATGGTTACTTTCCAAGCTGCGGATTGTGTGATGAAAGAGTGGACTAACAAGGGGGGAAAGGGTCTGGTGGCCCCCACTGAAGGGAAGGAAAAAACAGAAGAGGCGATCCGGTTCCTTCCATTATCCTACACTCTTTCCCAAGCTGCAAGCATCAACTACAACTCCCAGCATCCCCAACTAATAAAACTCAAGAAGGATACACCATTTCTCCAGCTCCTGGGGTCTTCAGAGAAGGCGTTCCTCTTGGTCCCATTGCCTGTGCGGTGGACGGGGTGTGTGTGTGTGTGTGTGTGTGGAGGGCTCTTCCACCAGGAAACCCTTGGAGCGGGCCAGGTTAGTGAGGAAGGCTTTCCGGCTGGCCCCCATCCTCTTCTCCACCAGACACAGCACCACTCCAGGGAAACGCACCGGAGGATCCTCCCGCATGGCTGGTGGGGCGGCTTTCCGCGGGCGCCTCTTTTTCACAGGAAGCTGTGACATTGTGGGGTTTATCGAACCAAGCCTTTTTCCTTCCACCGCAATCCCAGGAAAGAACATAAATCTTGCATTTCAGGCAGGTTGTGGGGTGGAGGAGAAACCTGTAGAATAATGAATTATTATTAATGTATTATTAATGTATTATTAATATTATTATTATCCTCTTGATCCCCTTGCCGGCGCGGTGGACGGGGGGGGCATGAGAAAGGGCCTTCTCCGTGGCTGCTCCCCGGCCGAGGAATGCCCTTCCCTCGGCTTTCAATCTTTTTGGCAGGCTTTTCGCAATTAAACTGGGAAAGGTTAGCTCTTTCCAGAGGCTAGGCATATATTCCTTTTAAGCATGTTTTTAAAGCTTTTCAGTGTTAGACAACCTGTTACACTACTGTTATATGTTTAACTGTTTTTTTAAACTTTGTAATTGACTGTGTTTCCCATCCAACTTATTTTAATCACCTAGAAATCAAACAAACAAAATAAGCAACTTTGTTCCTCTCACTGGTGGTTTGCTTACGGAGGACGTTCGGCTGTTTTCTCTTTGGGTTTCTTTCAGAGAAGGCAACATCAGGCTTTGTTTCAGCCGCGACAAAACACAAACACAAAGCGAAAGTATCCTTTGGCTTCCGATGGAGCCGGCTTGCTACTCAGAGAAGCCCACAATTTTAGCGGATTGCAGTATTTTTGCGGGTTGCAAATAATTAGTTTAGCCTCAGAGGCAGTCTGCTGTTAAGACTTCTAGTTTTGTAGGCGCCTTGTTTCGGTTTTGCAAATGCACATTTGCACTTTTGGGAACATTGCAATTTAAAGAAAATATTTTCTGTTTTTCAAGGAACTGCTGGGACGGGGGGGCGCGAGCGAAAGGGGGGCATCACTCACTCACTAAATAAGCTACAAGGCGCATCGTTACGGAAGAAGAGGACGAAGCACGCCGTCCTTCCGTCATCATCCTCTCGATTACCCAAAACTCTGCGAGCTTGAAAAAACGCCACAAAATCCTGCAGAGCTCAAAGCGTCTTGCCTGCGGTGTAAACGTCCCAAGGCCGGGCAGCTCGAGAAGCTGTTTCTTCGGGCGATTACAACTCCCGAAATCCTTCTGACCAGACTGGCTAGGGGATGCTGGGAATTGTAGTTGAAAAAGTTCCCCCACCACCACCACCACCACCACCCCGGAATATACAATACCGGCTACATGTCAAGGGCTTTAATTCCGCATCAGGGAGAAAAGGAGCAAAAGGCGAGGACAGCCCCTTCGGGGTCTGGATTCGAATTCTCCCCACCCCTCTCCAACGCAACTCACCGGGACCGAGACGCCTCCAGTGTCTGGGATGACTCCGCCTCCTCCGCGGCCCCGCCGTTTATGCAAATGAACCACCCGGGGGCGGGCCTTAGAGGCACAAGGCCCCGCCCCGCCCTCCAGAAATCAAAGGGACTGGGAGCTTCTTGCAAACTTTTGCAAAAGAAAAGCAAGGCGGGGATTCGCTTGCGCTGCTGCGCCCTATGGCGCAATGGCCGCGGCGGCGCTCTGGGGGACCGACCCTGTTCGCCTGCCCCCCCTTTTTAAAGGGAAGCGAAAGGAAGGAAGGGGGCCCCTCCCTTCTCGAGAAGGCAGCAGGTGGAGTTTGCCAGCATCATATGACGCGACGAAAAGTTGCGCTTCCTGAAAGTGTCCCCCCCCCCGCGGCTGCGCTCTTTTTCCTCGAACCCCCGGGCAAGTGGCTAGTCCTCAGTAGCTTTGGGGCACGCCGAGGGAGGGAGGGAGCCCGGCGGCCAGCCCTTCCCATGGGGGGCGCCTTTCTCCCCCTGGGGGCCCTCTGGGCTTTGCTCACGGTGCCCGGGCTACTCCTCGCCGCCCGGACGGCCAGGAGCAACATCATCCTCTTTTTGGCCGATGACCAGGACCTAGAGATCGGGGGAATGGTG